TATAAAAACCTGTTTTTGCTTTGTCATTATGGGGTATTGTGTGTAGATTGATCAGGGGAAAAAACAATTTAATCAATTTTAGAATAAGGCTGTAACCTAACAAAATGTGGAAAAAGTCCAGGGGTCTGAATAATTTCCGAATGCACTGTAATAAGTAAGTCCATTAAGTAGAAAGGTAACACAGAGGTGTGATGAAGCATGTTTCCTGCCTCAACGTATTGTACGATCATTGCCAAAAGACCTGTATGTAGGGGTTGGCTGTTGCTCTACTGTAGTGTGATATAATTTATTAATAAATTATATTAATATATATCAACCAGGGATTTATTTATGTTGAGAGCACTCTGTATCGTACTTGTGAGGACAGCTGAATGCGGTTTGGATGAAACCATATTTTTGGAGGAATCAGAACATTCTCTCCCACATCATTTGCAATGTAAAAATGTGCCCTACTAGCGCTGTACAGACCACCACCACACCACACTGCGATGGTAAGGCTAAGGCTAATTTAGCTGAGCTGCTTCAGCCATTTTGGATCACCACACTAGTATGCTAATGAGCTACAATACAAACCATGTTAGTGCATACCAAATTTGCTCATTGGTCCCATAGCCACTGAATTGATCTGACCACCATAGACACTCTTCTGGCTAAAGTGAAAACAGAATGTGTGTGCATTCCACCAATTATCTACTCCCAATCCCAAAGAGGACATAAGATAAATGCTTCAAAGATACAGTATCAACACTTGGCAGAAACATGCATACAGTATCTGTTGGTGGTGAAATTCCCTCAGGAATTTCCATATGTTGGGAACCCCCCACCCCCACACACCTCCCCACCTGTTTCCTCTACACTGGAACAGGATTCAGTGCAGAGCTCTCTGTTTGTAGGAGACAATGTACTATTATGTCGAATTGAAGAGATGGTTGAGAGATAGGGATGTCAGACAGTGAGTGGAGAAAATGGTGTGTTTGTGTGTGTGAAAGAGAGAAGGAAATAGGAGTAACCTAGTAGGAGTTAATTGAAGAGGGGAAAAGCACCTGTGAAACTGGACATACTGTTCCTACTAATTACCTAGCAGATGGTCTGAACCAGTGTTTGAGAGGAGATGGGGGTAGTGGGGCCTAAACAAATGTTGTACTGTTAACAAGGACAGCAAGGCATATTATACTGTACCTCAGCATCCTGTGTGACCTGAGGATTTAAATGTCAAATGTTTTTCATGCCAGGTTATGGCACTCCATAGTTAGCATGAATATATTCAGAAGCACAGATGTCCCAATAGCCACATGCAGAGGCAAAGTTGAACCTCTCTCACGCCCCACCTCTTTCCTTCCATGTACTAATTGAGACCGTACCTACTCAGCCTCAACTGTTGGTCAACAAGAGGCTATGCACTGGGGAAGTCATGAACGTTGAGGGTATATAGACTTTAGACTGTACTGTAGACCAGAGTGGAGTAAGTCATATGAATCCTAACGTTTGAAGAGTGTTACAGTATATTCTCCAATGAATATATCTGCGAGAAGAGGTTTGGGAACCTGTTTCAAAATAGGCTTGTACCTTGAGGGTTGCTGGTTCAAACCATTGGTGGTGAATATGTTTGCTTCTGTAAATATGTAGTTCAATAAGTTAAACCGATTTTGTGAAAATGAGTGACTGATGAGTAGACCTGTCACGACCGTTAGAGAGAGTGGACCAAGGCGCAGCGTTGCAGGCAAACATATTTATACAGGCTGTTTTCCCACAATAGTTGTGGGATCTTGTTCCAGTTGGTTTGTTCCATTTGGTCTGTACCGTAGGACTGCACGTATCGTTTGTTGTTTTGTTCGAGTGTTTACTCTCGTTAAATAAAGTATGTTTGCCTGCAACGCTGCGCCTTGGTCCACTCTCTCTAACGATCGTGACAGAAGATCCCACCATACCAGGACCAAGCAGCGTGTCCAGGAGCAGGCGGCCTGGACATGGGAGGAAGCGCCGGGAAAGGAGCTGGAGAGGTTGGCGATGGCCCAGGTGGGCAAATCGTGGTCCTGGGAGGACATGCTCGGGGGCAAAGGGCCATGGGCTAAGATTAAGGCCCTGGCGAGAGAGGAGCAACGGCGTCAACAGTGTCGTCGTCGGACGGACGAGAGGCAACCCCAGACATTTTTTAGGGGGGGGCACACGGCATGGGCGACTGGGCAGCAGGAGGCTGCCACAGGGCGTAATGGGAGACGAGGAGAGAAGGCCACCGGGTTACGGGAGCCATTGATGAGAGGAGGGAAGGAAGTTGTAGAGGCACGGCGAGAGGTACTGAGGTGTATTGCCAGTCCGGTCCGGCCCGTTCCTGATCCCCGTTTAAGGCCAGTGGTGTGTGTTCCCAGTACGGTCCGGCCTGTTCCTGTTCCTCGCACCAAGCCTACGGTTCGCGTCGCCAGCCCGGCCCGGCCTGTTCCTGCTCCTCGCACCAAGCCTACGGTGCACGTCGCCAGCCCGGCCCGGCCTGTTCCTGCTCCTCGCACCAAGCCTACGGTGCGCGTCGCCAGCCCGGCCCGACCTGTTCCTCGCACCAAGCCTACGGTGCGCGTCGCCAGCCCGGCCCGGCCTGTTCCTGCCCCTCGCACCAAGCCTACGGTGCGCGTCGCCAGCCCGGCCCGGCCTGTTCCTGCTCCTCGCACCAAGCCTCCGGTGCGCATCGCCAGCCCAGCCCGGCCGGTTCCTGCTCCTCGCACCAAGCCTACGGTGTGCGTCGCCAGCCCGGCCCGGCCTGTTCCTGCCACTCGCACCAAGCCTACGGTGTGCGTCTCCAGCCCGGCCCGGCCTGTTCCTGCTCCTCGCACCAAGCCTACGGTGCGCGTCGCCAGCCCGGCCCGGCCTGTTCCTGCTCCTCGCACCAAGCCTACGGTGCGCGTCGCCAGCCCGGCCCGGCCTGTTCCTGCTCCTCGCACCAAGCCTACGGTGCGCGTCGCCAGCCCGGCCCGGCCTGTTCCTGCCACTCTCACCAAGCCTACGGTGTGCGTCGTCAGCTCGGTCCGGCCCGTTCCTGCTCCACGCACCAAGCCAGGGGTGCGAGTCGTCAGCCCCGTTCCGGCCCGTTCCTGCTCCACGCACCAAGCCAGGGGTGCGCATCGTCAGCCCGGTCCGGCCCGTTCCTGCTCCACGCACCAAGCCAGGGGTGCGCATCGTCAGCCCGGTCCGGCCCGTTCCTGCTCCACGCACCAAGCCAGGGGTGCGCATCGTCAGCCCGGTCCGGCCCGTTCCTGCTCCACGCACCAAGCCAGGGGTGCGCATCGTCAGCCCGGTCCAGCCCATTGCTGCTCCACGCACCAAGCCAGGGGTGCGCATCGTCAGCCCGGTCCGGCCCGTTCCTGCTCCACGCACCAAGCCAGGGGTGCGCGTCGTCAGTCCGGCACAACCCGTGCCTGGGTCACCGGTGCCTGGTCAGGTACCGGTCAGCTGCTCCACACCGGAGCTTAAGCAATCCGCTCCTACGATGTCCAGTCCAGCTCCAGCCAGCGGGGCCAGACCGGACCAGGGGCGCTACGGGGGGATTATTGGAGGGTGGTGGGCGAGCCCGGAGCCGGAACCGCCTCCGAGGAGGAATGCCCACCCAGCCCTCCCCTGTTTGGTCTATGTTGAGGCGCGGTCGCAGTCCGCGCCTTTAGGGGGGGGTACTGTCACACCCTGGCTCTGGGACTCTATATGTTGAGCAAGGGTGTGTATATTCTATGTGTTGTGTTTCTATGTCGGGATTCTAGTTTTGTATTTCTGTGTTGGCCAGAGTGGTTCCCAATCAGAGGCAACGAGTGTCAGCTGTTGCTGGTTGTCTCTGATTGGGAGCCATATTTATACAGGCTGTTTTCCCACAATAGTTGTGGGATCTTGTTCCAGTTGGTTTGTTCCTTTTGGTCTGTACCGTAGGACTGCACGTATCGTTTGTTGTTTTGTTCGAGTGTTTACTCTCGTTAAATAAAGTATGTTTGCCTGCAACGCTGCGCCTTGGTCCACTCTCTCTAACGATCGTGACAAGACCTTGATGAGTGTCCCAACACAGTTATATCAGAAACACATCTGCATATCTGATGTCCCTTGGAGATTTGGAGGGCATCATTAAACAATCCTGATAAGGACTTGTCCTCATTGTTTGAACCAAACTGCCTACCTAAAACATCTCTTTCACTGAGAGAGGAAAAAGCTTGGAGGACCAAAAAAAAAATCAAAGAAAATATGGTTTCCTCTGTTCTCTGTCTTCTCTTTGGTTTTGGAATAAGATAACAATGTGTGCCTCCTCTCTCTGTTCCTGTGTCTGTCTGTATTGCAGTATTTTTAGCTTCGCTGTGACTCATTGACTCTGTTAATATTTACGGTGTTGTGACCGAATGATTAACACATGGGGCAAATTATGATAATTACAGGGGTGAATTATATTAGACTTAAACAAACAAATATATCAGCATATTTTCAACTGTTGTCTTTTAGGGATTATTGATATCTGTGTGTGTGGAGGAAAGGTCCTGGTGAGGATGGTCCCTGGTATGGTTTAGACTACACTGTGGTCGTTTCAAAGACATAAGTCCAGCACAAATTTGAATCTGGATATTCCATTGCTGGGACTGATATTGATCTAGAACTATGGGCTCTTTGGACACTACAGGTTAGGTACCTGATGTTTTTGGATCTGACAGAAAGCGAAGATCAAAAATGCCCCAAATCCTTAACAAGCCCAAAAGAAGATAAAGACACCACAGGGTAAATGACAGTCAATGGAGAGGAAGAGCGACAGAAATGAGAAGGACAAAGAAATGCTGTGGTTGACCTTTTGTAAATTCCTGTCTTTCTGTTTGTTTGTTACTGGAGCAATAGGGCAATAGAAGCAACTGTTGTGTGTCATAACATGTTCTCCTTTTATTTGAATTATATGTTTGCCCCAACTCCCCATTTCATTCTGTGTGCTTAAATAAGACCAGTTGATCTGTATGACAAACAACCCGTCTCTTTCCTCTCCTTCTCCTTCTCAGCAGATCCCAGGGAGGTTGTGGCGCCTACGTGTGTGGTGTGTATGTGTGTGGTGAGTGTGTGTGTGTGGTTGTGAGAGAGCGAGCGCCAGCGCTCCCACATGGCCTCCATGCAGGACGGGCTGAACTTCACGTCTCCTACCTACGGCAAGGTCCTGCTGCTGGGTGCCATCGCTGCTGCCTCAGCCTTCATCGTCACCATCCTCATCGTGGTGCTCTGTGTGGGCTGCCAGAGGTGAGACGAGTTAATGATGATGACCATGTGCACACATGGATATACACACATTTATGAGTAACGGAGTTAAGAACGTACCGTAAACTCACTCCACAGCTAGTTTGTAATTTTGCCGATGGAGCTATCGAATTAGATATATTTTGATAGCTCAAACGGTTGGTACGTTGTCAATGAGGGCGGTCACGTGTGCTAGCAAGGCAGAGGTCCTGGGTTGGAGCCTCTCGGTGTGAGCCGAATCAGGAGGAAGTGGTACTCGCTAAGCAAGCAGCGTGACGTCCATAACACCTGTACGAATGCACGTACACACACACGGACACAGCTGTTTGTATGTTTATAATACATTAACTGTTGTGTTTACTGTAGGAAGGGAAAAACGCATAATGTCTCCAGTGAAAGTGGGAAACACAGGCTGATGGACATGGTGAGTCGTAGAGATCACTCCAATAACCACATTTAACACTTTAGGTAAAACATGGATACATTTAGCATTCACAAGCAATTGATAAAAACTTTCATCTGTTTGTGTGTTGCCAGAGTATACTCAGGCAGTCAAAGCTCCGTTCCATCAGCAAGTCGGACGGTGAGATGAACAAGCTAAACTGCAATGGCAAAAGTGAGTAGAACTCTTAGGCATGAGAGAGTCACTCTTCAGCTCAGTTTGTAGAAATATTCACCACATAACAAACAACGATCCTTACAACTTCTACAAGGCTTTTTTTCATATACTGTAGGTGTGAAAGAATGCTAACCTTTCTGGTTTCCATGTGTCCTGCAGAGTCATCTAAAAAGAACCGTCCGGCTAGCATGGACCTTCTGCCCAGCCGCCGGTCCAATTCCGACCTCCGCTCCGGGGGACGGACGCTACCCCAGATCCCCTCTGGCACCGGAGAGGATGGGGAGCACACCTACTCTGAGGTAGGTCAACGCTCATCCCCGAAGCGTGGCCCTGATAACAACCTCTACGCCATAGTGGGCAGGGCCGGAGAGACAGACACCCCAGCCCCTCCGGCCGTCCCAGCCAACACCCCTGCCCCCCCTGATCTAGACGGGGATGGGTTGAATGAACCGCTCCCCGAGCCTGAGCCCATGCCCCAGGCTATGGCTCATCCACAACCCCCGGAGACGACTGCAGAGTACGCCTGCGTCCGGAAGCTCCGGAAGGTGGACAAGGCTGTCCCCCAGAAGAGGGACAGCGGGACCGATATGGGGGAGGCACCGGTGCCGCCTCCCCGCCACGCCCCACCATCACACCCTGCGCCACCTCCGCCACACCCTCAACACCCTCACAGCATGAAGATGCCCCGGAAAAACGTGGATGCTTTCAAGCTGCCCACCTTCCCCAAGGTTGGTAGAGAAATGGCTGATGGTACAGAATGATAAAGATCAAGTTTGTTCATGTAGGAAGTCCTTGACAAAGTCAGACCTTGATGAAGGCAATCTGTGTAGAAATGTTGATTAATTTCACTGCATTATCCTGCCTATTTGTACATGTCCTTGCAGTTCCCTACAAGTATTACTAAAAGCTGTGTCTGTGTGTGTTTGTGTTTTGTATAGGATTCTGTTTTGTACTTAGAATTCTTCCCAGTGCTGCTCTCTCAGGCCCAATGCCATATGGATGACGCAATCCATTGAAACACAGACCATTATCCCTGCAGAAAGACAATGGGGCTGCTTACAACTGTCATTCAAACAGCAAGCTGCACCTTTCAGTTGAAATCCATGAGATGTGCTACTTCGTCTACTTCTAGTTTTATTATACATAATTTATTCTTCATTTGGTTAGTATCCCCTGTGCTCCAATCATTTACAACTGTACAGCTGGCATTAAGCTACTGTAATGGTCTAGAATCTGGATACTTCCTACATTCATGCCTGCAAGGCTGTCTGAGGGTTTATAAATGAGCATGCATCTTCTTTAGGAGGTGCAGTATCTGTCATAGATGCTGGGTCCCAAGACAGCCGCTAGAGAGCATTGAATCTAACTCAATTTCTCCTGATGCCTCTTTGCAGCTCAAGTAATTCTGTTAAGAGCTAAACATTTCATTGTAATGTTTAGAGTGCAAATGAAATGCATTTATATGTATGTTGGCGCACATTTCCTCTCTCACGCCCCATTTTAAGGACTGACTTGTATGCTCCTTAGCAGAGGGGAGAAAAAATTGATTTTGAACAGTAAGCCTGAAACAGAACTTTTCATTACAGTCCGCCAAGTATTGTACAAAAGCATTATGTTTTATTGTTGTGTTTCATCTTAATCATATGTGACGTTGACAACCCATTCATCCTGTTCTCTGATTGGCTGGAAGGAGGCAGTATTCATGGGTAATGGAGAGCAGTACATATGGAAGCCTCCAGAGGATGATGACATCACCATGCTCCAAAACAAACCCTTAGGCCCTCAGAGTCCTCACAGTGGAGAGAACATAAAGCCTTCCACTGCTTTGGTGAGTATGTATGTCATTACAAAGTACTGTAGGTGTGTATGTTGTCTATCAGATTGATTAGTACTGAGGGTTGTCCTGTGCTGTGTGGTTTCCAGGTTGCAGAGATGTACTCGAAGGTGTGCAAACCAGGCAAGAAGAAGAGAGCTGTTCCTGGGTCTCCCCCAGCAAACATTGGCTTCCGGACCTTGGGGCGTGGCGACCGGGACCGGGAGCGAGATGGGGGGTTCAGTGTGGTGGTCAAGCCCCAGACCTGGGCACCGCAGGAGGGGAAACCCGTCGGAGGAGCCTCTGCCACTCTGGAGGACCACTGTTATGAGTCCATCGAGACGGGGGAGGAGTGCGACCCCACTTATGAGCCTATGGAAGGTGGTGGCAGTTGGAAGCGAGTTGGAGGAACCGAACGGCCTCCCAACACCTGTGCCACACTCAGGCCCAGGAGGAAGAAATCCCAGCAGCCCTTGCAGCAGCCTCCCCCGCCGCCGCCCACACAGCAGACCCCCAAGTTACAGCACCATCCAGCCAAAGCCCTGCTGCTGCCTGGGGAGAACCTGTACGAGAGCATTGGGGAACTGAAGCAGGGCGGAACTGCCACCTCCAGCACCACTACCATCTTCACCTTCAACGACGGCATGGAGATGTATGTCACTGGGCTCTAAGGCTGTGACCTACCTGACCTCTTACCTCCTTCCCAGCATTTAAAAAGAAGACCTCGGTCAGGGAGAGCTGGTTGAGCCCCTCTCATGCTCACTTTGTCTACATTACAGTCATAACTTCCTGCCTTTCAGAGCCTAGGGCAAAAGGGTTGGTCAGTGGTTAACGGGCTGAAGAGAAAGTCCTTGGCTGGGTCAAGCCCCTATCTTGAATCCAAAGGTAGTGATGAGAAATTAGCACAAAACTATTACAGAGAAATCTGTAGGATGGTAGCACTATTTTAACAATGTGCATAGCACAATTACAGGGAAAATTGCCTAAATTCTTCACCCATTTTAGTGGGTAAAATCATAGAAATATAATTAATTTCTATGGTTAAAACAGTGTTATTGTACTGGCAATCCTGGAGCCCTAGTTTAGGAACGAGCACAACTTTCAGTTTACTCCCGATGTAGCACTTAGTCTCTGTATGGCAGACCTTTCCCCCAAGTTTGTCGAGGTGTGATTCAGGAAGGAATTAAAATAATAATATAAAATAAATAAATATTAATCAAAAGACTTGAAAGCTCAGGGACCAAGAGTCAAATTATGAGAGAATAATGAACTAAATTGCACACATTTTGGCATTCCTCCTAAAAAACACAAAGAATTCTGACCATATTCACAGATAAAAATACCAGATAATGTTCCCTTTTCATTTGTTACATATCACATGGTCTGTCTCCACTACCATCTGTAAATTAAGTGTTTTACTTTGTCAGTCCTTTTCCTGCACTTTGCCTGCTTAATGTTGCATGCTAAAAAAAACTCTAACAAACAAAAATCAAGCACTGTCATGTGGTACCGAAGAACGGTTTGTTTTTTGTTACTGTTGTTGATTGTTTAGTTATTATGTTGCTTTGTTTCTCTTAGAGAGCACAATGTCATTCTAATTCAGGATAGCTTTGGCTACTGGAAATCTCTGGCAATCGTTACTGTCAAGTTGATCACTGCCTTCATTTTCAACAGAGAGGAGAGGATACTACTATCTGAACCACAGGGGCCATATCAAGTCAAGGGAGCATACTGGTAAAGTTTACACAAATCTAATAGCTCCATCCTCAGTCTCAAAACTGTGGATCAATCAAGATACTGCTTCTGCCTCACGATGGTGATTTCACCCTCCTAAGCTCTGAACGCAGGTGAAGCATTCATGAACAAACTCTCTGTAGCTATCTCATCACTCCACTGATTAACATTTTTATCTCCTCTCAATAAAAAATAAAAAATTCAACAGTGCAGTGACAACAAATGACAACGATACAACAGAGATATTGTAAAGGAGCGTATAAGAGGTATAACTCAAAATGTATTCTCAACCTGGACACTAAAGAACTTCATTTGACCAAATATACCCAGCACATAATGTGGTTATTATTCTGTATGTTGATGCAATGTGTACGTGCGTATGTTACAAAAAGAGAAAGAATAATAAATATATCATTGGTGTCAAGAAATCTATCTTTTACTATTTATGTTTGGTTGTATTTTGGGAATGACTTATCTGGTGACATAATTGTAAAGCAATGTTACAATGTGAAATTTGATGTGTTTTTGTTTAAATTTTCCAAGCCATTTAAGTTATGGTGTGTTCTTTGAAAAGCCCAGCTAAGTTTTATGTGGCAGCTAATGTTGTGTGTTTGCTAATCAGACTACAGGGTCTTGTACTCAAAGCGTGTAATTAAGTGCTAAAAATGCAAAAGATTGTAATGTTTTATATCAAGATTACTATTCATGAAAATGTCAGTCAAGTTTATACTTTTGTAATAAAGTGGCACTTTGAAAAATTATTAGTTTTCTCTAAGCTTCACTTTAAAAAATATATATATATACAGTGGGGAGAACAAGTATTTGATACACTGCCGATATTGCAGGTTTTCCTACTTACAAAGCATGTAGAGGTCTGTAATTTCTATCATAGGTACACTTCAACTGTGAGAGACGGAATCTAAAAGAAAAATCCAGAAAATCACATTGTATGATTTTTAAGTAATTAATTTGCATTTTATTGCATGACATAAGTATTTGATACATCAGAAAAGCAGAACTTAATATTTGGTACAGAAACCTTTGTTTGCAATTACAGAGATCATACGTTTCCTGTAGGTCTTGACCAGGTTTGCACACACTGCAGCAGGGATTTTGGCCCACTCCTCCATACAGAACTTCTCCAGATCCTTCAGGTTTCGGGGCTGTCGCTGGGCAATACGGACTTTCAGCTCCCTCCAAAGATTTTCTATTGGGTTCAGGTCTGGAGACTGGCTAGGCCACTCCAGGACCTTGAGATGCTTCTTACGGAGCCACTCCTTAGTTGCCCTGGCTGTGTGTTTCGGGTCGTTGTCATGCTGGAAGACCCAGCCACGACCCATCTTCAATGCTCTTACTGAGGGAAGGAGGTTGTTGGCCAAGATCTCGCAATACATGGCCCCATCCATCCTCCCCTCAATACGGTGCAGTTGTCCTGTCCCCTTTGCAGAAAAGCATCCCCAAAGAATAATGTTTCCACCTCCATGCTTCACGGTTGGGATGGTGTTCTTGGGGTTGTACTCATCCTTCTTCTTTCTCCAAACACGGCGAGTGGAGTTTAGACCAAAAAGCTCTGTTTTGTCTCATCAGACCACATGACCTTCTCCCATTCCTCCTCTGGATCATCCAGATGGTCATTGGCAAACTTCAGACGGGCCTGGACATGCGCTGGCTTGAGCAGGGGGACCTTGTATGCGCTGCAGGATTTTAATCCATGACGGCGTAGTGTGTTACTAATGGTTTTCTTTGAGACTGTGGTCCCAGCTCTCTTCAGGTCATTGACCAGGTCCTGCTGTGTAGATCTGGGCTGATCCCTCACCTTCCTCATGATCATTGATGCCCCACGCAGTTAATACAGGTAATGAGTGGAGAACAGGAGGGCTTCTTAAAGAAAAACTAACAGGTCTGTGAGAGCCGGAATTCTTACTGGTTGGTAGGTGATCAAATACTTATGTCATGCAATAAAATGCAAATTAATTACTTAAAAAACATACAATGTGATTTTCTGGATTTTTGTTTTAGATTCCGTCTCTCACAGTTGAAGTGTACATATGATAAAAATTACAGACCTCTACATGCTTTGTAAGTAGGAAAACCTGCAAAATCGGCAGTGTATCAAATACTTGTTCTCCCCACTGTATATATAAATATGTACCTCATGTGCCTTTTATTAGACAGGATTAACTCCACCAGAAGTTAATCATTATTTGTCCAACCATGCCAGCTAACTTCAATAGACCACAGCATAGTCTAAAGCAGCCCCTCCATTGGACTCTTTACCATATGTGCTGTTCATGATCTGTTAAGATGTTATTATTATTATTATTATTATTATTTCTATTACAACATCATGATCAAAGCATTGCCATAGATTAATGTCACAAATCAAACACAGGCTGGGTTTAGACAGGAAGCCCAATTCTGTTCTTTTTTTTCTCCACTAATTGGTCTTTTGACAAATCACAGATCTTTTTCAAAGCTGATCTGATTGGTCAAAAGATCAATTACTGAGAAAAAAAAAGATCAGAATTGTGCTGCCTGTATAAACACAGCCGTAGTAGGCAAAATAATATATATCAATATCAAACTGCCCTGAAACCAAAGGCAGCTCTGAAAAACATTGGTGGTGACTAATGGAAGACAAAGGTTCTGCAATCATGCTACAGATTTATCACAGGAAAACATGATTTAATTGGCTATTAAGGCATTGAGAAAGTTGCATTCAAGTAGATGTTTATTATTTTTTTACCCTTATTTTACCAGGTAAGTCGACTGAGAACACGTTCGTATTTACAGCAATGACTTGGGGGATAGTTACAGGGGAGAGGAGGGGGATGAATGAGCCAATTGGAAGCTGGGGATAATTTGGTGGCCATGATGGTATGAGGGCCAGATTGGGAATTTAAATAGATGTAAGTAAGGGTGACTGTTTCCTCAATGATAATCTACCATTCACTTTATTCCATAATTACAATCTAATAACACATGCATTTCCCAAAAATAAATGTTCAAATGTGGTGGTATGTCAAAATATTGTGTGTGTGTGTGTGTGTGTGTGTGTGTGTCTCTGTGTGTGTGTGTGTGTGTGTGTGTGTGTGTGTGTGTGTGTGTGTGTGTGTGTGTGTGTGTGTGTACAGAGGGGTCTGCGTCTGACTAGCTGTACAAAAAAATAGGTCACCCTTAAAACAAAAAGCTTACAGTCAACATCGCAACCCGTCTGCTGAATTTTCATTGGTGGGCTTGTCTCCATAGTAACAGGTTAACCTTGAGGCAGTAGTCACATGGGCAGGCGAGTCTTGTGCTGTCTTGGAGAATACAACATGCATTGCATGACATCCATGATCACAGTCACCTACTATGTGAGGGCTATCACAGAGAAATAGAGATTATAAATAAATACATTCCCCCAAAACAGTGCTCTCTCATTACTCTAAATGTAGGCTATGCTTGTCAAGCATAGAGGCAGAGATACAATATATTACATTCATACATATATATTACATTGTGTACTATGTTAGGTAGAAATGACTACAATAAACGTAACGTATTAATGGATGTCACACCCTAAATAATTGGGGTAAGACAGATACAAAGATATCTAATATTTGGTATTTAGCATCAAACATCAGGACATGTCATGATCTCTTTGTTCAGGTGAAGATCATCCTCGATTAATTGCTAGTGACTGTTCTCTCAATCAAGGGTGGAGAGGATTCAATAGCATTTCAACTCAATACCTTTCAAATTTCAATACCTTTTCAAATACTTGAAAATAATGGGCAATTTCCAATACATGATTTGTAATTTCACTCAATAAAATGAATGGAATGGACCAATTGCAGACCTTCATGTGATGTCTAGTGTGGTTTGAGTATCTGGGCCACACACACAACATGGCAACACAGCAACTCAAATTGAACAATGCTCCCCCCTACAGGTTAGGAAGCTTCACTACCTAATAAAACACAAACTTTCAATGTTATATTTAATATAAAATTGCCAAGATAGCATCGCAATTGTCAAGATAGCATCCTCTTCAGAGGGGATGAAACTGATTCAGTTTCATGTAGCCCCATATATAAACATTTTCTGCTTGAGCAGTCCAGAACTGAACAATCCAACTGTATAAATAGAACAATAATCACTCCATTAAAATCTTCTAATATGTACCATAAAATAGAATACAAAATGTCTTGCTGTACATACATTTGACTATTGACTTGTTTATAGAGAACCATTTGTTGTCTATTTATAGCAGCTAAATGGAATGTGACTGGTGTTGCCGGGCAATCCTGCCCTTAACTAGCCTTGTTAAACCAGCCTGATCTCACAAGGTCACAGTCTGGTTTCACGAGGCTTGCCTTTAACCTTGTGTTTCACAGAATCCCGTTCATGTTTGTTGTTTGGGGCGCTCCTGTTCCTCATCGCCACTCCAGCCTGATGATCCACCATCTGTCCCAAAGTAACGGTCTCCAAAGTCCCCTGTATCAACAGAACACACAGAAATATAGAGTTTCATTACATGGAGCAACACATCAGACATCACTGTGACATCAGACATCCCACTGGGCAAAAACTGGTTGAATCAACGTTGATTCCACGTCATTTAATCAAATCAAATCAAATCAAATTTTATTGGTCACATGCGCCGAATACAACAGGTGCAGACATTACAGTGAAATGCTTACTTACAAACCCAAAAACTCTGTGATGACATTGAATCAACTTGGAAAACCAATTGGATTTACAAAAAGTCATCAATGCATTTTCTTTCAAGCAACCTTTAACCTAAATCCAATGACATGGTGAAATGTTTTATTGATTTCACATTGAATTCACATTAGTTGACAACTCAACCAAACGTTGAACTGACATCTGTGCCCAGTGGGTTACTACAGGAGGGAGTGGTTTGTACTAGTGTATGGGGTAAGACATGTTAGCTATATCAATGCCAAACCCACCAATCCCTGGAATGACTTGCAGGAAGTCATCAACACTCTTGTCCACAGCGGTGGTGATGATTTTGACCTTGGGGAATGCATAGGCCACCGAGTGCACTCCCAACTCTGCCATGAGCAGAGAGACCAGCGCAATGTTCTCCTCCTGCACCTCGTGGTCCTGCATGAACACATCAAAACACATTTAGTGCTATGGCCATCATTTAAAAACCCAGCCATTTAGTAATGTAAATGTAGTATGGTTAGTAATGTCATAGAAATACAACGACTAATTATAATTATATGGTTACTATAACAATGAGTGATTAATCATGAAGACAGGGGCTCTCTGTTATTATGGGATGGGGATGTCTATTATTGCCACCTTACCAATAGGACCCGTACAGCCATCATGGCTGCAGCGCCTGTAGACACAGTGCTGTCCATTAGAATGACATGGTCCTCACTGATGTCTTTGGGCAGACGCAGGTAATGCAGCTGGACGGGATGAAGGAGAAACAGGGTTACCACAGAGATACGATCAGGAAGAGGAGGCAGATCTGGTTACTAGGGAGACACCAGGTGAGGTGGATATACAGTAAGTGTAACTATTCTAAACAGGACCCGTTCTCCTCTCTTCAGCCAATAAAGATCTATTCCATTCTATTCTGTTACTTTCTAAAGTACCTCTGGTTCTCCTGAGTCCAGGTTGGTCTGGATGAGGATCTTGCCGATGCGGACGTCCTTACACACCGCCCTCAGAGCAGGCTCCATGGTCTCCCCTGCCCGCAGGATAGACACACCTGTGATCTGGGGGGAGGAGGACAGAGCTTCAGCATGGTTACAAACACACAAAATCTATACTATTAGAAATAAATACCAAACACAGTGCAGGGAAATAGGAGTAGTACCAATGATTGTATAGTACCCACCCCTTTTCCACTGAAGCTACTTTTCCCCTCATACTCCTGGCCCTGTGGGGTCTGTACCGTGCAGGGCTGTGACATCATACAATAGGGATGAAGTCAGTGACATTATGTCTAATCATATATAACAAAATAACATATTACAATAAAATCCACTATAAACATTGGCAAATAATGTCCACATACCTGAGAGGGCAGGAATGTTAGAGCATGTTCAATAAGGAGACGCATCAACCTCTTGGAGTAGAAGATGAACTCGTCTCGACTGGTCTCCTGATTCCTGGATTAGACAAATGAGTTGGAGGAGAATGAGAAAAAAACAAGTGTGTGTTGATTCTAGACTGGCTCTATTTGACCGTGATCTGACCTGATGATGGTGTGCAGGCCTTTAACCTGGGGCGTACCCTCCAACACACTGAGGGTCTGGGGGAGGGGCTGAGTCTTCTGGGCCGAGGCCAGGACTGCCCTGGAGTAAACATCACAAAGGAGAATACATTTGAATAGGTGACAATGACAAGACACTATTCTGCTCTCCCACTAGTTCTTTAATAAAAGGAAACCATGTAGTCACCTTGAGACACTTGGTGGGGGAATTGTGAATAAAACCCTTACAAAATCTCACATACAGGGAAGGGAGGGAGGGAGGAGGTCTAAGAGATGTGTAAGCCTACCTGACACTGAGCTCACGCTGCACAAAGAGAGAGAGAAAGAGAGAGGGAAAGCGAGAGCAAAAGAGAGAGAGAAGGAGAGAGAGCGAGAGAGAGAGAAAGAGAGCGAGAGAGAGAAGGAGAGAGAGCGAGAGCGAGCGAGAGAGAACGAGAGAGAACGAGAGAGAGAGAAAGAGAGAGAGAGCGAGAGAGAGAGTGAAAGAGAGAGAGAGAGAGAGACAATAAGGGATCACAGCTTTCACCTGGATTCACCTGGTCAGTCTGTCATGGAAAGAGAAGGTGTTCCTAATGTTTTGTACACTCAATGTATATACAGTCTACTGAGTATAGTGTTCTGTGGCTCACTCACCTCCTCCATCTGCTTGTGGACATGCTGGACAATCAGGTCAATGGCCACCATGTTACCACCACCTGGGAGAGGGAATCATATTTTCACTAGGAAACAACATATTTTCATTTGGAGAGAAACAATTCGCTAGCTCAAATGGATTCCTCACAATTAACAATATCTGCACAGATTATCGGCTACGAAACAATAGTATATCAGCAGGAAATATATACCTTCATATTGGTATTAGCTGCCAATGGCTACTAAATATTATATCGAGATCGACAGATGCACAAAATGCAGAATGTAGAAACAATGCACTTTTGACCTTTCTAATGGGTAGTGCTCCATTTCTCACCTCGTGGCACAACGATGTCTGCCAACCGAATGTAGGGTTCAATGTACTGCTCAAACGCAGGCTTCACAAACTTGTTGTACTGCTTGATGACCCCCTCGATGTCCCGTCCGCGCTCTGTGATGTCCCTGCGCAGCCGACGTACCAGTCGGATGTCTGAGTCAGTGTCCACAAAGATCTTCATGTCTAGGAGCTGGAGACAGACAGAGCAGCAATAGAGAACTATGTTCCTGTACCTTGCAGTCACGAATGACTCAACTGTTTCAGTAAAGAAGTCATAAACATGTGATGATCATACAGCCTTACCTCTAAAAGCTCTTTGTCTGCAAAGGACATGATCCCCTCAAAGATGACCACACTGGCACCATACACAGTTTTCTACACAGGGGAGAGACAGACAACAGAAATGCTCAGAACTGCAACAGATGCCAGTTATACCCATCTTATAATGTTACCAACGGTGGATAAATATATCAGGAGAATCTAGAGTTTTCCCTTGGTACATGGCCTCCCAGTTCTGCACTCACCCAGTCTTTCTGTCTGCCGTGTGTAGTGAAGTCATACACTGGGATCTTCACGCTCTTGCCCTGTTTGAGTCTCTTAACGGTGGCAACCAGCAGCTCAAAGTCAAACGCCCCTGGGTGGTCAAAGTTGTAGTCGTTACTGGCTGCCAGGGTCTGTTCCTCAGGGGTCAGAACCTAGGGGAGAACAAACTTCAGGGAAGGATGGACACAGAAACACAATGGTATCTTTCACAGGGTAAAGGGAAAAGGTGAATGTGTAAAAAAAAGAGTGTAACTCTGCCTACTCATGTAGTGTGTGTGCAGGGTTGGGTAGGTTACTTTCTAAATGTAATCGGTTACAGTTACTAGTTACCTGTCCAACATTGTAATCAGTAATGTAACTTTTGGATTACCCAAACTCAGTAAGGTAATCTGATGACTCTCAGTTACTTTTTGATTACTTTCCCCTTAAGAGGCATTAGAAGAAAACAAAAATAATCCATAAAATTTGGTGTCATCATAGTGGTCTTTGATTTGTGGTCAGACTCGCTCAGGTGGAACAAACCTAAACTTGCACCTTTTTTCATGCTGAATTGAATGTCATTGAGAAAAGGTGTCATCATGTATTTTTTCACAAACATCCTTTCTGAATTTAAAACTAATCTATGAAGTAATCAACTAATTTTTCCAAAGTATCTGTAATCTGTTTACAATTTGTTGCTGGTAACGTAAGTGATTAAAGTGAGTTTAAAAAAAATCTGATTACATGTAATCAGTTACTCCCCAACACTGTGTGTGTGCGTTCGTTTACGTGTGCATGTATGTGTGTGTGCTTGCATGTTGAGTCCATGGGACAGGGTGCATGTTGTTCCCTGGTGTTCTATAAACAGACATGACGGAAGGGAGGGAGGGAGGGAAGGAAGAAGGGAGGAAGGGAGGGAGGGAGGGAGGGAGGGAGGGAGGGAGGGAGGGAGGGAGGGAGGGAGGGAGGGAGGGAGGGAGGGAGGGAGGGAGGGAGGGAAGGAAGGAAGGAAGGAAGAAGGGAGGAAGAAGGGAGGGAGGGAGGGAGGGAGGGAGGGAGGGAGGGAGGGAGGGAGGGAGGGAGGGAGGGAGGGAGGGAGGGAGGGAGGGAGGGAGGGAGGGAGGGAGGGAGGGGATTACCCAGGCTGTTGACAGTCTCTTCCTCATGTGCTTCACATGTGATTAACATCATTAAGAGGGAGGGATTGTGGGTAAACTCATTCATATAGTATCACGAGGGTGTCTGTCAACAAGGCTCCAGTCTGTTATGAGGAACAGAGAGGAACCCCTTAACCTACAGTAGCATCTCCAAATGCTAAATCTCAAGCAAGCCAAGTGAATGACAGTCTCTAACCTTGTAGAAGGAGTCCATGGACAACAGCACTACCCAGGGGACATCCAGAGCCTCGATTATCTTATTGGCCACTGTGGTCTTCCCTGAGGCACTGCCCCCACACAACCCTGCACAGACAAACACATGTATGTTTCAGTACAACAACATGTCACACAATAAGGAAAGACCATTACAACACTACACATACAACATCAAAAATTCACGATTAACACTCCACACACTGACAATAAAATAAGGCATACATCCATAACGGTCGTACCGATGACGAAGGCCTCTTTGGACTGTGCACCATGCTCATCGTACCAGGGGGGTCTGCCGGCTGTGTAAATGGTGCGTGTGCCGGTGCGAAGCAGGGGAGGCTCTGTCTTAGTCTGGGATGTGCTTTTCCTGCGTGGGGCCGTGATAGGAGGGCCAGGCAGGAGCCGGTCTAATGAGTCTTCCCCACTACCACTGTGAAACAACAATCAACATATCATCATTAACCTGTTATTAACATAGAGCTTTGGGTATAATTACAGTACAAATAACAGAAAAAGGAGGGACGTTTTTTAGGAGTGTTATAAATGACTCTAATGGTCCTTTTCGTAGGTAACGTCACTGATAAGGTTTATACCAACACCGTCACACCCTTGTTTACTATCAAGCTCAATTGAAGGTTAAAAACCAGCTTAGCGGTTACATCAGACTCTAAATCCACATTTAGTACTGTTCAGGCTCCACTAAAGCCCCAACATAAAACATCTTGGTTTGTTTCAACGCATATGTTTTTGGTAGATAGATCCTGCATTTCCCTGCACCTCCTCTCATCATCAGTAGGTCTCAACAGACATGGGATGGGACAACACATCCCAACACCCTCAACACACACAGGCAGAATGACTTCCACAGCCCTGTCTGTGTTTGCTCAGTGCTCACACACAGACAGACAGCATCCATTCCAATAAGCATGGCATACAACAACACTATGTAAACCAGCGGAGGCTGCTGATGGGAGGACAGCTCATAATAATGTCTGGAATGGAGTCAATGGAATGGTATCAAACACATCAAAGACGTGGTTTCCATGTGGTTGATACCACACCATTGACCCCATTTCAGACATTATTATGAGCTGTCCTCCCTCAGTAGCCTCCACTGATGTAAACAGACTTACCTGCGGACCCTCATGGACCAGCAGCCTGAGATTCTGGCGCCAGTGTATGCAGGCAGAGTCATATCTGCTTCGGACAGGGACACCTGGCTGCTCCAGCTCAGGTATAGTACTCACTACAGTACTCACTACTAACACAGTAGCGCTCACACAGGCTAACGCTTACTGAAGCAGCAAACGTGGTCAAAGTTAACCCCCATAGAAAAACAGATACAATCCACCTGACGCACTTTAGAGGGAGACACAACCTCTGCTTGTCTCTTTAGACCTTAGTCACAATCTACCCACTGAATCTAGCCTCTCTCTTAGGTTCCTCTACATACTCTCCTTTCCTCTTCTCCTATACCTTCCCTCATCTCAGCTCAGAGGAGAGAAAGTGAAATGTCACCACATCTCTCCTTTTACCTCTCCACTTTCACCACTCCCTCCCTCCCTCTCTGTCCCTTGTCTGAGTGTGTTTAAGAGGATCACAGAGTTGGTGGGTGTTATTAATAGAGGCCTGTTTACACCAGGACACCCTCTGCCGATCTTCATCTACAAGTGCATAGTCTCACAAGTGAGCCAGACCTCTCAATACCGTATTAGAATGGCTGGAGTGAGTCGAGGCTACCATGTGCAATGCTCCAAGAGGAAGGTTAGGCAGGCATAGTACTGCAGAGCAATCATGTTCCCAAGTGTTTGTCTGATTACGACCTGAGATCAGTGTCTGTTTTATCATGTTTGTCACTGTTTTTTATTGCACAACATACCAGGGCACTGCATTTCATCAGCATGTGTCCATTGATGGCACTAAATGTTTTACCATTGTGTAGGCTACCTAGTTATTACTATAACAAACTACATACACTCAAATACTACAATTTCAGGAGATACATACTGAGAGCAGAGTAATGCAATAGTGTCATTCTGTTGTGTTCTGTGCTAGATCCAAGGCAGATGTCCATTATTAGACTGATCCTATTACGCGTCTGCTTGGTGACATACTTTACTGGCGACCGCAGAGCAGCTGACACACACAGCATTAAAATGATCACTGGTAAATGATCAAACTTGATATCCGACTCAGTTACCCGGTATTTGAATTCAATGTATAAAACTTCAAACATTCTATGAAGCCCAACTTGACTGTGTGTTTATGCGCAGGTGGGACGTTACAGCAAAGCCACTGTGCGCTCGGGGAGGTCAAATGATGCCGTAGCTTAGGCTACAACGAAAATAATAAATGCAATGCTGTGGTCAGCAAATAGTCATATATTTCAGACTTCGTTTAAACAACATCAGCTAATACAAGGTATAGAATGAAATACTCTATGCTGTAAGAACCAGTACCTGTCTGAGCGGGATGACATTTTCTTCCCGCTGCACTCTGCTTCCTCTTGCCCTCTTCGGTACCGGCTGGTTTACAGCGCCATGAATTCAAGAGGATTGTGGGTAATGTAGTTGATCTCCACCAGTAGTGGACTGGAGTCAGATGATACACAGAAAAAGCATGTAGGCCAACGTTAAAAACATAATACATTTTATTTGTCTGAAATAAGGGCCCTTACCCATACATATATTTTACAACAATCTATACAATTTACAATTAAGCCCCAAATTAGAGTATTCTATAGGATACTTCCAAGAGGAACCATTGTGACAAAAATCATTCACAACATACCTTGCACAGTTGTATGGTTAAAACATAAAATAACATAAAAATGGGCTACAAGACAAAAACAACCAATCTGACATGAAGCCTTTAATAACGTCCTTTCATTTCAAACTACAGATAGAACTGTATAGTCCGTCTGTCCCTTTGGTTGATGGAAAACCGATATCTAACTTTTCAAAGTTAGGACTGTGCTCTATTGATCACAGTACTGTATGTATATTTGGGAGTGTTCCAACTCCCCCGGTTCTGTCTGAGTTGGATGTTGCATGTGATCATCCCATGTGTCCTCATCAGAGTTAGTAGTTTCCATGTGGTTCACATTGCAGTCCTAGTTTCTGACTGGTGTACAGCCTCCCAGCTTGTACATGGTTGAAGTGCTCTATAATTTTTTCCAGTTTTCACTGTAAACAACCCAGTCAGAAATGGAGTGTTATGTTACGACAGATTTCCAAAGGAGCCACCTGGTACAAAAGAAAGGCAAGGAGAGAAAATAGGAACTGTTAGAATTGAATTCAAACGTTAACTGTAATTTCCACACACGCACACACAAGCACACACACACACACACACACTCACACCTCTGCTAAGGAGCTGCAGGTTTCTTCCCTCCTCTTGCACATGCAGTTGAAGCACCTGCTGTAGGAGCTCCTGCCTCAGTGTCTCCTGAACCAAGCCCATCCTCTCCAGCTTCTCTCCATTCAGACGCAACAGAGCACGGCCTGACAGGGAACAGAGAGAGGAGGCTTGTCATTAAGTGATTCAACTGTCACTACTCATACACACCCACACTATTGTGTATTTTACTAGCATTTTCTCATGATGAATTTTGTTTTTTCTGCTAGTGCACTTGTATCCACCCACACCTGCTGTATTCCACTCTCATTGCATAATTATTAATGAATGTTTTTGTGCTAGTGCACTTGTACCCTTTGATACCTGTATTGGGTAAAGAATACTACAAGCATAGTGATTAAACTCTGCCAGCCATCCACGCTTACTGTATTTCAGTCTCATGTTATGATTGTAAATTATGATTTTGGTGCTAGTGCACTTGTATCTACTCGGACCAACTGTATTTTCCTCTGATTCTGTGATTATGAATGATGTTCTTTATGCCAGTAATACACTTGTCCTGGTTGATACCTGTGATGGCGTGATGAGAGAAGGCTTCGACATAGGTCAGGTAGTTGTGAGGACAGTGTTTCTTCAACCACCTGCAGACGTCCTGCTGAGTCCATAACACCACGGGCCGGATCAGACTAGGCTGGGTGGGGCTGGTGTGGTAGATTCCATAGGAGTCGCCTGAACGGCGCTGAAATACACCCAAGCACACACACACCAAACATTTTATTTCTGCAATGCCGTATTTCCTTTCTGGCCCTCTACTGCTTCCATTATCTCTCAGACCCCTCCCCTCCCATTTAAGTGCTGTGTTTTAACCTTGAGTGCCCCAAGGGATGACAACCCCACCACGTCAGCTAGACAAGCACATCCATCAAGAAATCTGTTCAAACACCCAGAGGTCTTTCTATCTTCTGGTCACCAAGGACCACTTTCATGATCTTAGCCACACAGATATGATGCATGACAATGCAGTTGCCAAGAATGAAGTGATGGGAGTGACTTTCCTTTACTTAACTCCAGGTCATACCACTTTAGCATATCTCTACAACCACTGCACTTCTGGAAAAGTAATGCAAAAGCTAATTAGCCTTGGTTACTGTACACACACACACAGACACACACCAAGCAGCAGCGGGTGTCAAGTTTCACATTTTATTAGCCATATGTACGGGATACGTATGGTATACATCAACCAACAAAATGCTTACTTGCAGGTTCCTTCTTGACAATGCAACAATAATAAATAATAAAATATAAGAATACAAACATAAAGTAAATGGCTCAGTAGAAACATTTTAGCATCAGTATAATACAGGAAGGCACAATTTATAGTCCAATATTTACACGTGTTTTGGGGAAGGGGGGATTTGGGGGCAATGTGTTTAAATTGAACAGTATAATAAGAGTCTGGTAGCAGCAGTTTTGATGTGTATAGCATGAATATACACTAAAGTATGTGGACACCCATTCAAATTAGTGGATTCGGCTATTTCAGCCACACCCGTTGCTGATAGGTATATAAAATCGAGCACACAGCAATGCAATCTCCATAGACAAACAGTGGCAGTAGAATGGCACGTACTGAAGGGCTCAGTGACTTTCAACGTGGCACCGTCATAGGATGCCACCTTTCCAACAAGTCAGTTCATCAAATTTCTGCCCTGCTACAGCTGCCCCGGTCAACTGTAAGTGCTTTTATTGTGAAGCGGAAACGTCTAGGAGCAACAACGGCTCAGCCCGAAGTGGTAGGTCACACAAGCTTACAGAACGGGACCGCCGAGTGCTGAAGCACGTAACGTGTAAAAATCATCTGTCCTCGGTTGCAACACTCACTACCGAGTTCCAAACTGCCTCTGGAAGCAACGTCAGCATAAGAACTGAAATGGGTTTCCATGGCTGTGCAGCCGCACACAAGCCTAAGATCACCATGAGCAATGCCAAGCGTCGGCTGGAGTGGTGTAAAGCTCATCGCCATTGGACTCTGGAGCAGTGGAAACAAATTCTCTGGAGTGATGAATCACACTTCACCATCTGGCAGTCCGACGGATGAATGTGGGTTTTGCAGATGCCAGGAGAGCGCTACCTGCCCAAATGCATCGTGCCAACAGTAAAGTTTGGTGGAGGAGGAATAATTGTCTGGGGCTGTTTTTCATGGTTCAGGCCCCTTAGTTCCAGTGAAGGGAAATCTTAACGCTACAGCATACAATGACGTTCTAGACTATTCTATGCTTCCAACTTTGTGGCAACAATTTGGGAAAGGCCCATTCCTGTTTCAGCATGACAATGCCCCCGTGCACAAAGCGAGGTCTATACAGAAATGGTTTGTCGAGATCAGTGTGGAAGAACTTGACTGGCCTGCACAGAGTCCTGATCTCAACCCCATCGAACTCCTTTGGGATGAATTGGAACGCTGACTGCGAGCCAGGCCTAATCGCCCAACATTAGTACCCGACCTCATTAATGCTCTTGTGGCTGAATGGAATGAAGTCCACGCAGCAATGTTCCAACATCTAGTGGAAATCCTTCCCAGAAGAGTGGAGGCTGTTATAGCAGCAAAGGGGAGATCAACTCCATATTAATGCCCATGATTTTGGAATGAGATGTTCGACGAGCAAGTGTCCACATACTTTTGGTAATGTAGTGTATGTGTACTGTATGGGTGTGTGCATGAGTGAGTGCCTGTGTGCTAAGGTGCGGAGAATCAGAGCAGCTGGTCAGTCCAGTTCAAGTGTTCAGCAGTCTGATGACTTGTTGATAGAAACTGTCTCTGAGTCTGTTGGTATCAGACCTCATGTTCCGATACCGCCTGCCCGATGGTAATGTCATTGCTCTAACATTAGCATACATGCACGCTAAACCCATTACTAATGAAGCCTATCATATAAAAGTCCCACTGCAGATCAAACGCATACATACATCTGAAACTAGAAGATCAGGGAACATAGTTCTGTGAGCAATGAGCATCAGCATCAAACCAGGGTGCATGTGGGTCAGTCTTATCCCAATACCAAATTCCTACAATTGGAATCTGAGCAGGATGTGGGTGACTAATCAAATGAAGCCTTTGATCATTCATTCAATTTAAAAATCAATGAATGCAGTGTTCTCTCCTTTTCTGCTCTAATCTTCTTCTCCAGTGTAGAGCAGCCCCACTTAAAGTTCAAAAGGTTTGAACTCAACATGCTAGTGTTACCCCCCTTTGCCTGAATTTGGCCATCAACAAACAAAAACAAACAAGCTCTCTCCCTGCATTTTTCATCACAGACATTCATGATACAAGATTCTGTAATGCATTGCAGTGATCATGAAAGACACAAAGCATGAAGCCTATGCATGGAACAGGAAGGGAAATATCTCTGTCATCAACCCAAATGTGTAGGGTACTCAGAAACCACAATGTATAGCAGCGATTCCTTCATTCATTGGTTAAAAAAAAACATCAGGGACGTTGAAATTGCAATAACGTGTGTCACGTTGTATAATGATTTGAAGACAGGCACAGGAATACAAATTAGGGGTTTTATTTACTCCACCCAACACGTATATATATACAAAAGGGATGTAACCCAAACAAAGAGCGAAGTGTAACCGCTTCACAATATGAGACCCGTAAACAACAAGCGCACTATACACCGTACTCACGAGACCAACGGATAATCAACAAGTGCAATGGGGAACAGAGGGCACATCTATACACATACTAATCAGGGGGAATGGGAACCAGGTGTGCGTAATGAGACAAGACAGTCCGGGGTTGGTGGTAATGATCCATGTCAGTGACGCCTAGAAAGCCGGTGACGTCAACCTCCGGAACTGGTGAACGGATGAGCAGCAGTACCGGGGGGATCCGTGACAACGTGATTTCAAAGTCAATTTAAAAAACACAAAAGGTTCACTGCGCTGTAATACCACGTGAAGGGAATACCATAATATATCAGATACCATTAATTGAACCAGGCACCGGGAAACGGGAACCATGAACCCCCCCCCCCCCCCCCCCCCCCCCCCTTCTCCAAATAGTAGAGCTATGGCCCAGTTCACACAAAAATAAATAGATAGACATGCTTTATTATAAAACATATCTGCCAGAGCACATACTGTAAGGTTCACCACAGCTATTAGATGTCATACAGTATATTTAAGCAATAAGGCCCGAGGGGGTGTGGTATATGGCCAATATGGCTAAGGGCTGTTCTTACGCACGACGCAATACAGAGTGCCTGGATACAGCCCTTAGCCTTGGTATATTGGCCATATACCACCAACCTCTGAGGTGCCTTATTGCTATTACAAACTGGTTACCAACGTAATTAGGGCAGTAAAAATTCATGTTTTGTCATACCGGTGGTATACGGTCTGATATACAACGGCTGTCAGCCAATCACCCAGTTTATAATGCACATTTTAGCTCTCAGTCAACAGACAAGGGCTGGTGCTTCTGTATATAGGAAGGCCAGCAGTTCTATTTAAAACCATTTTAAAAGTCTGGACTGGCTGAGTGCCCCGTAGCCCTCCGGGTAAACAGCATCTTCCATTCTCCATAAACAAAGTGCTGCTTGTCAGATAATATTTTCATTTTGTCTTTGTGAAGATAGAAGCTTTTGTGTTGGTAAATTACAGAGGGCCAGAGAGAAGCTTACATACACTTCAATTAATAATTGAAAAAGATTGATCTGAGAGGAATGAAAACCTATGAAGCTCTTTCCTTTTCCTATTTACACGTGCATCTAGAATTAGAGATGTGGTGGATGACTAGAAGCAGATATGGCATAAAAAGGCAGCCATTGCCATCATGGCTGTAAAGCACTACAGAAATGGGGTCATTTTTCACATCTGATCTGTGATTATGATCTGATATGCAGAAAATAGAGATCTGGAATAGTTGAGGTATTCTACCTGATATCTCTCTGTCCCAGGCTGTTGGAGCAGCTTCACTGTCCGGCCCCCTGCTGTTTTCTGTCCACGCCCGTCATGCCAAGTCAGGTTCCCTCCCGTCCGTTGACTCACGTGGTTGAAGTCCTCCGGCAGCGCTCTGTACTCCACAGCAGGCCGGCAGAAACTGAAACTGGAGGCCGCTAGAAGAGTAAAAGAGATAAATACGTAAAAGAGATAAATACGGTTTTGATTTGAGCAATCTGATTTGACTATAACAGTGGCAGTAAAGTCACAGGCTTGTGGTGCTTGAAATTCCCTCACTGACTATGCTGTAATTTGCACTAAAAAGGCCATGTGAAATCTGGAAAAATATAATATGCCAAAGAACTGTAAAACTCACGGTGCCTTCTCATTGAGAGATGATCTCAACCATCATTACTAGGTGTTTTCCCAGGCAGCCCAGGCAGATGTTATAATGGCTGAGCCAGTAAACTGAGTCATTATGAGCTGATGTTCAAAGAAACTTCAACTTTTACCCAGATAGCTCCCAGGCATTTCTGGCAACTCTACATGACTACTGCATATAAATCATATAGGACATAAACGGCAGATGTGACAGTCGCTCATCATTATGGTTAGTTACTGGGAGACACACACCCTATCCCATTCTGCAGGTAGCAGATGTCTTTTCAGTATCATAATGAAGGCAAAAGGTGCTAGCTAGAATAAACACACCATTTCTGCAACAGAACCTGGCAACCAGCCACAGTTCATTACTAATTCATGTGCCAGATTGGGTTGATTTGCTGGCTGTGTTGGAGGCGATGTTTTGAGCAGTGTGTGTGTGTGATGTTCATTCAAATGTCTCTTCTCTAATTGACACAGAAGGTTTAATTGAAATGAGGACAGAACAAGAGACAGCAGAGGAGAGTATGAGAGGAGAGGAGATGAAAGGGTATCTTTTGGTCCTTTTGCTTGTGCCCCTCCTCTGCATCATCCAGTATTCTCCTTATTCCAGACCCCCAACAGAGCCAAGCTTCACAAAGGCAGCTCTTGTTATCAAGCCAAGCCATATGAATGCCACTGGTGAAGAACATTGTCATAATGGACATAACCCTTTGATATCAACCCACTAGTCTTCAGCATTGGGCATGTGTGTGTGTTTCTTCATGCCACTTTGAAAAATCACTTCAATAATAATACACTAGAAGTGTTTGCAAACATCGAATCTGAGATGTACCCAATCTTCAGTGAACGACTGGTTTATTCATAAATTATCAAAATAGGCTTTTAATTGTAAGGAATGGGTTATATGGCCACTGGTCACTGTCAGCAAATGGACCTTAATCCGTCACCCTTAATGCTATCCATTTCAGCACCACGCTGTCCGGACAGCGGTTACTGTTTGTGCTGCATTTCCGAAGAAAATGTCCACCTAAATACTGAAATCTAATGCCAAAAATAAGCAGGGGAACCAGTCATGCAAGTTCAGCTAAACTAATGCTACTCTGCGCACTTGTTTAGCTTAACCTGGCTTTACCGATAATAGAAAGGCTGTCAGAAGAGAAGATGTGGGATGATTAGCCTATTGAGATGTCTGCATGCACTATTATTGGATCTCAATTACCGTCCACAGCCATGCCGTTTCACCTTTCCCCGTGACAGCACTAGTAAAAGTATCCGACAGGTAATCCTCGGTTTGTGGACTCCTCTCCGTTCCGTCAAAGTCTACACTTACAGTATGGGCTAACAATTAGCCGACTTGGAGAGGATCGCGAAAGTCGTGTTAGCTCCTCTTTACAGCAACTCAGGTGCCACTACTAGTAGAAAACTCTACTTCTCGTGAGTTAACCGGTTATATGCAGTGCTGAATGGAGGAATTACTGCATGGAGCATTCAAATAGGCTGCCAAATGCCTAAATTGACACTGGAAGCATTTCATTGTATTTAGCCTAAGTAAAAAAAAAAACACACAGATACGCTCTTGAGCAATCTCTTATCAGATGGTGCTGCTAATAGTGTCCTGTCCTGGGTTAAGTTATGCGGCTCTTTCTGTGCGGAATGTCCCAATGATGTTGGCTGACTGCTTCTGTCAGTGCGGAGCTACTGCATGTGTATGTGGTTCCTCTCCTCATCAGAATCAGGCGCGCGGCTTTTTCTCAAGAGCCAGCATGAGCGGACTCAAAGTGCTGCCCAGAGCCCTGTAATTAGCGCAGCCAGTGGAGAGAGACTTTGAACACGGGCTGATGAAAAGCCAGCGCAAGACTCACACGCTAGAGGCAAAATAGAAAAGAGAACATTCAGCATAAGGGATCCTCCTGCCTTTATTTACTAAAGAAAGGGAGCCAGAGCTCTGGGGCCCCTGGGGGCCATACATTTCACCAAGATGACATCCATGATGGAGCCTCAGAGCAAAGATAGCCAAGGGGAAACCCAAGGCTTTAGGCAGTGGCCCTTACTGTAAATAAGAAGTCAAAAGGTCAAATAAGGGGTGCTTATATTTGTCCTGTTTCACACATGTACAAGTGTGTGGTGAAATGGTAATGTGTTTTTAGCATATCTCACTTCCCCTAAGACACCCTTGGAGAGGGGGTCATGGCATGGGATCAGTTTGACAGATCATCAGGCTGCTAACTGTCAACAGTTTAATTGATCTGAATGGTGATGTACAGTCGTGGTCAAAAGTTTTGAGAATGACACAAGTATTGGTCTTCACAAAGTTCGCTGCTTCAGTGTTATGAGATTTTTGTCCGATTTTACTATGGTATACTGAAGTATAATTACAAGCATTCCATAAGTGTCAAAGGCTTTAAGTTTATGCAAAGAGTCAATATTTGCAGTGTTGTCCCTTCTTTTTCAAGACCTCTGCAATCCGCCCTGGCATGCTGTCAATTAACTTCTGGGCCACATCCTGACTGATAGCAGCCCATTCTTGCATAATCAATGCTTGGAGTTTGTCAGAATTTGTGGGTCTTTGTTTGTCCACCCGCCTCTTGAGGATCGACCACAAGTTCTCAATGGATTAAGGTCTGGGGAGTTTCCTGGCCATGGACCCAAAATTTCGACGTTTTGTTCCCCGAGCCACTCAGTTATCACTTTTGCCTTATGGCAAGGTGCTCCATCATGCTGGAAAAGGCATTGGTCATCACCAAACTGTTCTTGGATGGTTGGGAGAAGTTGCTCTCGGAGGATGTGTTGGTACCATTCTTTATTCATGGCTGTGTTCTTAGGCAAAATTGTGAGTGAGCCCACTCCTTTGGCTGAGAAGCAACCCCACACATGAATGGTCTCAGGATGCTTTACTGTTGGCATGACACAGGACTGATGGTAGCGCTCACCTTGTCTCCTCCGGACAAGGTGTTTTCCGGATGCCCCAAACAATCGGAAAGGGGATTCATCAGAGAAAATGACTTTACCCCAGTCCTCAGCAGTCCAATCTCTGTACCTTTTGCAGAATATCAGTCTGTCCCTGATGTTTTTCCTGGAGAGAAGTGGCTTCTTCGCTGCCCTTCTTGACACCAGGCCATCCTCCAAAAGTATTCACCTCACTGGGCGTGCAGATGCACTCACACCAGCCTGCTGCCATTCCTGAGCAAGCTCTGCACTGGTGGTGCCCCGATCCCGCAGCTGAATCAACTTTAGGAGACGGTCCTGGCGCTTGCTGGACTTTTTGGGGCGCCCTGATGCCTTCTTCACAACAATTGTACCTCTCTCATTGAAGTTCTTGATGATCTGATAAATTGTTGATTTAGGTGCAATCTTACTAGCAGCAATATCCTTGCCTGTGAAGCCCTTTTTGTGCAAAGCAATGATGACGGCACGTGTTTCCTTGCAGGTAACGATGGTTAACAGAGGAAGAACAATGATTTCAAGCACCACCCTCCTTTTAAAGCTTCCAGTCTGTTATTCTAACTCAATCAGCATGACAGAGTGATCTCCAGCCTTGTCCTCGTCAACACTCTCACCTGTGTTAACAAGATAATCACTGACATGATGGCAGCTGGTCCTTTTGTGGCAGGGCTGAAATGCAGTGGAAATGTTTTTTAGGGATTAAGTTAATTTTCATGGCAAAGAGGGACTTTATAATTAATTGCAATTCATCTGATCACTCTTCATGACATTCTGGAGTATATGCAAATTGCCATCATCAAAACTGAGGCAGCAGACTTTGTGAAAATTAGTATTTGTGTCATTCTCAAAACTTTTGACCACGACTATACTGTAGTCGTACTGTTACACCAGTGAAAACCCATGTGGCTTTAAGTGAACTATGCCTGTTCTACCCATTCTACTTCTATATTGTTTGTGGTTGTCATAGTTGGATACAATCATTACTGGTGGTTGTGGTTGGATATAAGCCATTGACGGTAAATCCCAGATTATAAACTGGGTGGTCGAGCCCTGAATGCTGATTGGCTGACAGCCATGGTATATCAGACCGTATACCATGGGTATGACAAAACATTTATTTTTACTGCTCTAATTACGTTGTTAACCAGTTTAAAATAGCAATAAGGCACCTCAGGGGTTTGTGGTATATGGCCAAAATACCACGGCTAAAGGCTGTTCTTAAGCACGATGCAACGCGGAGTGCCTGGATATTGGCCATATACCACACCCTCTCGTGCCTTATTGCTTAAATACACACTGGACCAATCAGCTCCACAAACCACATGTGGGACATACTAACCCAGTGACAACAAACAGCCGATTCCTTTAGGTCTAATTACCAGGGCATGGGCACAGGACTTCCTGGTGTGTAGGCCTACCATTGTTGCTATGACAACACGACTATCTATGGAAAAGCAGAGACTTTAGGGGGCACATAGGGGCTGATGTCTTAGCATGGGCACATTTGGCCTGGTAAGAGGACCAAAATATGAAAGGGAACCCCTAGAGTTTCCGCTGGAGGGAACATCAAAGAGCCTGGAATATTAACATTAAGTTAAGGCTGGTCTGCTGAGGACCAGCCATTTGTTTCATGGTGTATCAATGAATAATTATTAATTCTCCAACAGTTTCAAGGGCAAATGATTAAAGACATGGTCCACTTACAACCCATTTGGCCTAGAGGCTCAGCACACAATGAGAATGGACAAACTTTTTCTCTCTGAAGGAGAAAGAATACGTTGGCACATTATTATAATATTTCTGTATTAACTTGTATTTATTCAGGGGAACCCAACTGAGACCAGTGTCTCATTTACAATGGTGCCCTGAGGACAACAATTACATCAATACAGCAACAACAAAACTATTTAAAAAACGACAAGATAAATTACATCAGGTTATTACAAGTTATAATAATCAATTGAAACAATTGCACACTTCAGTGAACTCATTTAACAACAGAGTTTTAAACTGCCCTATCGGCACCAGGGAATCCAGGTGTAATTTGTTTTGTAAGGTATTC